GAAACGTAGCTTTTTTAAAAGCATCCGAGCAAAGGAATGAATGGAGAACCATGATCGCCGATGTCTGTCGCAGATCTGGCACTGGATGAGGATGATGAACGATTCTTGTTCACGTCACTGGCAAAATTTAATTCATAATTATTTGTGTATATGGGTAGGGGTGAAGGCGGAGAGGGTGTATGAATATGTCTGCTCGAGATCAAGCCTTTTTCTCTTTTGCATACCTATGATTTTGTTCTCAAGAATGTCAAATGACCTTTCAGATAACGTTAGTGGGAAAAGCTGGGGAGAATATCTTTGACAAGTACTGCAGAAGAGAAGAAGAACATACGAGAAAGACAGAGAGAGGAGAGAGAGGGAGAGAGAGAGAAAGAGAGAGAGAGTGTGTGTGTGTGTGTATGAGAGAAAAAAAAGCTCAGACACAGACAAACAGAGAGACAGAAAGAAGGAGTCAGAGAGACAGGCACACAGAGACAAAGAGAGAGAGAGAGAGAGAGAGAGAGAGAGAGAGAGAGAGAGAGAGACGGAGAAAAAAGAAGAGAGAAAGACGGAGAAAAAAGAAGAGAGAAAGACGGAGAGAAAAAGAAGAGAGAGAGCGTGTGTGAGCGAGTGAATAGAAGAAAGAAAAAAGAAGAGAAAATTATTTCAACCCCAAAAAAATAAAAACAGTTAAAACTTAAAGCTCAAAATCATGTCGGCAAACATCTTGAGAATCCACTTCTTATGCGAGCGAAAACGCATTCTGAAAAGCAGCTCCCAGCTCTCAATAAACTGAAGTGAACCACTTTTTTCTTCCAACCGGAGATTGACAAGTGGAAAGACGTCTTTTTTTGGCTGCCTGGCATGGCATGTCATTGCAGAAATTATGCTTCATGTGGGGAGCGGTTGGACACGGTGCTGAATATAATATCACTTCTCTTGATATTCCTCAAGTGGCTCTTATTAAGCATTATCCAGAAATTATAGCACAAGTACATCCATTGACGTGTGTATTGCCAACATTTTCCTTGTGTCAGTGCGGGCTGAATATATCAGCTGTTCTGGTGTGATTATAACCACTTTTGTAAAGTTTTCTGTACTTACTTTTCCATAAACGCGAAAATTCGACAAAAGCGATAATTTTGAGTCTTGTAAAGATACGTGCACAAGATAAAAATAGGATTTATTTCGAGGGGTTTGAGTGGGAAGAAGCTAAATCGGGATTGTTCAAATTATGTTTTTGAAAAGTTTTTGAAAAACGTTGATATGATGTACTTTATGACTATAATGATAATAATGAGACAAAAAACACGGACTTGTTTTATTTGATTTTTAACATACAGATTTTGTTTTTGTGAAGTAAATAGCAATTTTTTTTCTTACTTTTTAAATTGCAGCGTTACCTCGTCAGATTCTGTTGTTGTGATTGTACAACCTTTTCGTCGTTGTCCTATCGAGTGAGTCTGTATGTCTCATTGGGTGTTGAATTCTGCTCTGCCTGTGTTGGTCCTGATAAATTATCAAAACTTTCTTGATCGAGGCGTAAATTTTGTTCTTGCTC